GTGGTCCGCTCAACGGCTACTCATTTGAATCTCAACCGACACGCGGTGTACTCGTACGCATTTTAATAAATCTGACCACTCACAGCAAATGCTCGTCGTTCTTCTCATTTAGACCACTTAATTCCTCAACATAAATAAAAAAATACATTTCCTACAACTTTTTATTAAAAAAATTTTTTATACGTTGAAACGTTTTCGAGATAGAGCGCGGAGAGCGCGCAGTTAGAGTATCATTTAAGGTTAACCGGTAGTCTCGGTCAAAAACACGCCATATAAAGTTTATAATTATTGATAAGTACATAATTATTAATAATTTTTTAAAAGATTAAGCTTTGAAAATATGAAAAAAATTCGATTTTTTCAAATTTCTAGACCAGAATATTCCCCCTTAAACAATCTTTAGAATTATCGAGATATATTGGTGCAACGAAAACCTTTGTACAGTGTCAGGCCCTCGGAGAGGTTTCGGATTCCTACGTAAACATATGCGATACCAAAAAAAGAAATGATATTCTTATTTTCTAGACAAAGTTCCTTTACACATAGTTTCCACTACCAAAACCATAGGCTGAACCCATCGGGGGACTATGGAGGTGGATCCTTCTGCTTTTGGCAGATAATATTATTAATTTCCTTCTCTCTCCAAAGAGGTGTGTTACTCATTAATCACATATAAACATGTGAAAGAAAGTAAGAAAGTAGCTCCTTAGTCTATCAGATTTTAATGCTGTATCAGTCTGCATATCTCTATATCCGTCAGTTTAACAGTCAGTCCGTGTCGGTCTTATATTTATAACTTTTTTTGTATTTTGTATTTTCGTAACAACGCACTTTTTTGTAAACTTTTGTAAATACCGCTCAACATCACATCATAGTTAATTAAATAAACTATCACACATATCATATATTATATTTCATCATCAGTTATTATTTCTCTCTGTCTAAACTCCACAATTTCTTTTTTTCATGTATTCTTGAAATATTAATAAATATCCTGAGACATTACTGATAGTGAATATATTATTCGTCTTTTTCTTATTACACTTGAAAAAGTACCTAAAATTCATGCCTCCATACCTGAATAACCCCATAAGTAAACAACAAAAGATTAAACTTTTAACGAATCACATTTTTCTTTTATTTTATATGTAAAAAAAAAAAATATATTTTTGTTCAGCTAAAAGCTATTAACTACACTTTTTGTCATAAGTGTCTTATGTAACAACTTATGTTGCTTACAATTTCATAAACAATCCAGAAAAGTTATCTACTCTATTACAATGTAAACACATACAAAATTGATTTCAAAAATTAACACATTGACAGCCGCCCCCTCGAAAACGCGGGTTTCGTAGTCTTGCGGTTGAGCGCCGGCCCCGCGAAAACGCGGATTTCCAACTTTTGTGTTTGAGCGCCAGCCCCACGATACATGGACAACTATTATAATAGCATTAAAATCGCAGAATTGCTTATGACAAATAGTACACGAGTTTATGGTATAATTAGACAAAATAGGGATGTTCCCGAGTCTTTGCGGCGTCTCAAATGGATAACTGGAGAATATAGATGGAAAAGAAAGGGTGAAGTTTTTGTACAGGCGTGGAAGACGAAACAGAAGTTGGTATACACGATGTCCACGATACATTAAGAATATAATAAAAACAAATAAAACACACTGAAAATCGAAACAAGAAATCATAAAACCGCATTCCGTCACAAAGTATAATAAATATATGATGGATGTAGATTTAGCAGATCAATATTTATCATATTATTCAATCATGAGAAAAACTGTGAAGTGGACAAAGAAGACAGTGTTGTTTCTTTTCAATTCCGCAATGTTTAATGCATTTAGATTATATACTGAATTAAATGGTAACATTATAAAATATAAACGATTTTTAATATACTGTTGGACGTTCCTGGATCGAGGAATTCGCAAATGCTAAAGACTTTATTCATACTCCTTGTACTTCGCATTCTGATACTTTAAGTACTGAAGAGAACTTGAAGGTGAGAAGAAACATAAAATTACTAGAATTTCGGGATCGGGGACAAAAAACCGATACGTACGACGCCCATGTAGAGTTTGCGCTGCTGGTAAAAAAAGAAGCGAGAGTAGCTTTATGTGAGCTGAATGCTTAGTATCTTTACATCTTGGACAATGTTTTCAGAAATATCACACTTGCGTTAAATATTAAAATTTTTGTTTTGAGGTTATGTTATATACAGGGTGGGTCACCACATTATACTATCTAGAATACGTTATTATTATTACGCGTAGCAGACAATGTTTCACATGGAGTTGAATGGCTTTAAAAGGGGCTCATACTGATAGTACTTTTTTTTGTAGGTGGACGTGTAAAGGACATATGAAGGTCATTAATGTTTTCCTGAACAGAATCATAAATTTTTTATTGCGTCATCTGATGCTCTTTTATATTATTTACAAAAAAGTATTAACCTATTTATGTAAAAAAATTATTACTTTAGGAGATATTTTAATTTTCATGTCTATTTACAAAGCACAAATACCATTCATATCATGTATCAAAGGTTCAAGAACTGACCGCAAATACCTGTTATCAACGTTTAGAATTTTGTAATTGGGCTCTCACTCAAAGAGACAGCTTTTTTAGCAATGTTATGTTCGTGGACGAAGCCACGATTACGAAAAATGAATCAATGAATTTAAGAAATGCCCATTACTGGTCAACGGAAAATCCTCATTGGTTTAGACAAATGAATAATCAACACCGATGGAATGTAAATGTTTGGATGAGCATACTCAGCGATAAACTTGTTGGTCCATACTTTATCAAAGGATCACTAACGGGACCAGAATATGCAAATTTTTTATCAAAAACTTTATGGACATTTTTAGATTATTTACCATTGCATAGACAACAA